TAGTGAATGCGTGATTATATGTAGTTTGACAAACAACATCACATGTGTGATGATTAGGTGAGTAATGAAAGGGGGATCCCGTGATTTGTGCGTGGGAGGAACTGTAAAGTGTTAATGTACAGTTTGTGGAGTTTCTGGCACCTTACGGTTTGGGTTCGAATGATTTTCCTGAAGGCTTAGTTTTTAGCCAAATCCATAAAGATGCACTGAAGTCACCCGCTATAAGTCTTCTATACCAACCTTACAAGGGTTTCAGTTTCAGGAAATAATCCACAAAACACCTGGTATCGCGGTATGCTACAGCTATCTCAATATTATGTTCTTTACATTTCAATCCTCACAGCACCAAATGTTATGATCTATATTCATGTGGCATTGTTTCCACAGTTTCTGTGAATAAAGTATTTCTCAAGAAAGTAACTGGACACCCAGTCTATCCACTAGTTCTCAATAGTGAGTGTCCCTTCCGTAGTATTTCACAATCTCTTAATTCTGATATCGCTTTTCTGAAGTTGGAATGATATCAGAATTATTTATGCTGACCATATTGTTGAGCTTTGCTTCTTCATTCAGCAAACTTTGAGTATTATTATAAAGGATTAAGAAATATATTTTTAACACCCTCTTATGCCAAGTGTAGTGGTTTGAGAACTGCTGGTTTACGAAATATGACGATACGAACACGCGGTAATCACTGATGCACCAAAAAGATTGTTAACACTTTACCAGAAGTGTCAGTTTATGAGTAAATCGAAACGATAACAACTGACACTTCAAAGAAAAGGGTATATCAAATAACAATATGATAAAAATCGTTATGAAAAAAATGACGTACAGGTTTCATATGAGATAATGAACACAAAGGAGTTCACTTGATTAACTCAGGTTCTTTTGCACGTGGTGGCACAGGCAGCGTGACAGGAATGATAGACCTGATAGTGTTGTTGAATAATCCGAGCCAAGTTTCAACGTAGTGCGAAATCCCCCAAAAGGATGTTATAACACAACTCTAGTCTTTAATAATAGGTTATGGCCAACAAATCAGAAGGATAGATGACGGAAATAGTATTTGCTTGAATAAAAAGGGTAGCTTGTACATTGAAAATGCCAAAGAACAATGTTCACTTTACAAAATAAAGGAGACAAACAATAGATATTGAATTTAAATGTGATTAAGCTTAAAATGTCACGGAGAAAGAAAAAGTGCAATCTTCATTTTGTTTTTATAACAATCAATGAACGTGCAATTACTTAGAACCTGATATATTATTATTGTTATTCTATTATTACTATTGTCTTTTTTCTCTTTTTCAAATATGGCAAATATAATGCTAACATTATTGAAACTTGTGTATTATTGCACTTTTGAAGAAACCCGAGGTAGTTTTTTCGCAACACTTATGTACCCATAAGATGTTTGTGAATAATAATAATAATCCTTTCCCCAATACATACGTCACCGGATGTACGCCAAGACACCAGAACATTTGCAGGGTCAGTCAAATTGAGTTACCTGTAAACAAGGATAAGTCTTTAGGCAAGTAATTTTCCGGGAGTTACCACTTTAAAATAAGGCGAGTTAACATCTCTTGCTGCATTTTGTACTTGCGACTATCTGAAATTTTACTTTGGGTGTCTAAAAAGTATTAGTAACGTAGTGGTAAATCAATGTACTAATTTACCAACTTGTTGCTTGCCGTTTCTGCTTGCGGACATAAGTAGCATTCAAAACTTGGTCCACAATATTTCACGTTACCATATGGTTACATATGCATTGGAATATACCGGTAGAAGTTCACGATAAACAATCTTTTCAACATCCATGCGCTGACCAAAATTAGCAGTTAAAAACGTTAGATAAAACGACACAGAATTGATCATAGTAACGTAGACGGATTTATTCTACGTTAAAGTCTCAACCATTAGTGATCATTGGTACACTTTTTCATCTCATCTTCTAGGATTCTTTTTATCTATTACTGCTACTAAAATTACTTCTGCTCCTCTTTCACTCATGTTGGTTTTATCATCATGAAGATGTGATACGGAAAATTACGTTACTTCACATTGTAGCACATCATTGCAATTCCGATCATCAGATTCACATTTGAACATCACTTTCCAGTCTGGTTTGGGCACTTGCATCATCTCATTACTAGTCATACTAAAGATGTGGCCGACTATATAGTGATGGGGTTGATCATTCAATTTCCCTAATTACTTGGAAATTCTACATTTCCAATGTTTTAAAGTGTTTTCCGAAATAAAAACTCCCACCTGTGAACTAAATCTGGGTGCGAGATTTTAACTTCGAGTCACTCTTGAGATATAAGCATTTTATAACACACCTAAGGCTTTGTTTAAAGGCATCGGCGTGTAATGTCCATTTGTAAAATGAGGAATTAATTTATTATTCTGCATTATTCTTTAACTTTATTGTAAGATCCAAACTACGGTTTGGACTGAAGGACGATTGGGTAAGATGACGTTTCTATAATTTATCATAAATTTAAGTGTACATTATTACCTAAACAAATATAACCACTCAGCTATCCAACCAATAATTGTTCAAGTGATCAAATCTAAACTACAATAAATAAGAAAGTTGATAAAGGATGCAAGAAAATTACCAATCACCACAAATAAATGTTATTCTATCCTGTCTCGATAGATCACGTACAGATTCGTTCAAAAGGTAATAATTGGTCGCTCTATAACACAGAGTGTTTTCGATTCTGAAAGAGTGCTTCAATTCACAACCAAAATGCACAATTCCAGTCAACACAGGTCAAGCAATCAAAAGCAAGAACAAACCCAAATGGCTGCCGCCCAGACTTAGCATGAAGTAAAACAACTTGATGTCTGTTCTATGCTTCATATGTTGGTAAAAATTGACCATGAATGAAAGTGTATTACGACTATTGTGTGAAGTGGCATTCATTTCACATAGTGAGTCTACTTTATTTTCTTTGAAGATCAACACAGCAACGTGATTATTATAAATATTGATTGGTAGGTTATAGTATTCTAATTATAGTATGAATTAGGAATTCCAGGATTAACGCGATTGAATTAAGAAGACACAGGCACAACGAATGTACTGTATTTAGAATTCGAAATCGAGCATTCAACAAGTACAAAAGAATCATTAGTTAATTCAAACACCACATCCGCCACAGCTTAAATAGAAGTATAAGTGTTGGTAATCGGTTGTACGTCTTCTTGTTAAGTTCATCCTGAGTCTGTCCGACATTGTATAAGATAAAAACTTTGTAGTATCTAGAAAGTGCTCATTAGTATTGGAATTAACAAACGAAATCGGAACAGACTCACCTGGAATTGTATACAACCAGCATGTCGGTTTTGTAATGAAATCAATAATATCTAGAATTCGAACCATAGATTTTTCAACACTATCCCCCCCCACGAAATAATGTTGGATCTTTATACTCCCAAGTTATGAATAATGTGGCTTCATTTAAAACATATATCTCACATTGTTTAGAGTAAACATTAGAACTGTTTTTGTGATAAGAGTAGACAGCAGTTGATATGAAATCATCCGAAATATAATAAAACTCGAGGTCACTTAGTACTCGTGCTTCGCATTGGGCAGGTTTTTCACGAAGATCAAATACATTATGAGGATAGGTAATATATGATATGACATCAGGATTTGATTCTTCTGAAATATTCTCATGAAATTCATCAGGACTGTCATTGCAGAGCGTAGGATCGTTAGAAAAATCAGCATCTATCCAAACCACATCAGGTTTTCGATCATGATTAGGTTCATTTAACATATTTTCCTCAGAATTGCAAGTAATTTCATTAGAAATATGTGAATCATTAGGAAAAGTCATACTTGGTACAATAGCATGAGAATTCTGATAAATCGGTTGATTAGGAAATGTTGTCTCACAAGAATTCTGGATTTCATTTAACTCTGAACTGCCATATGACTCTGCACTGTCTTTTGAAATCGTTGATAAAGATAAATGATTATCATGAATACTCGACTCAGTAGAATCAGAATTACAAGACTTAATATTAATTGCAGTAAGATGAACATTAGCATTACAAACTGACTGAACTTGTCCAATATCACGACGTTTGAAGCATTTAGAATTATGAAATTTACATGAATTAGAAGAGTGGAACTTGCAACAGGACAAACACTGACCAAACTTGTCCCCATCCTCGTGAACTGCATCCAAATTCAATGAATTGTCTGCATAACCTTGAGTATGCACTAGGTTGAGATGACGTAGTAATGTAGTGGACTTTTTTATATCCTCATGAATCATTTTACGAAATCTTCCTCCTTTACGACATTTGAAATTTGTATACTGAGCATAGTCTAGCAGTAGATCCTTGAGAGCTGTATAAGAAAGCGAAATGGGTTTTTCCGGCATAGCCAGAGTTCTTAATAAGCTGTATGCTTCTTTTCCAATGAATGTGAGGAAGTGTGCCACAATATTAACATCCTCATCATCTTCCTTGGTCATAGCCCAGATTTCGAACCTTTCAAAGTAATCTTCAAAAGCTTCTGAAGTTGAATGAATATCTAACTTTTCCATTGCAGGCTCCATCGCGACGCCAATATAGTATTCTAATTATAGTATGAATTAGGAATTCCAGGATTAACGCGATTGAATTAAGAAGACACAGGCACAACGAATGTACTGTATTTAGAATTCGAAATCGAGCATTCAACAAGTACAAAAGAATCATTATTTAATTCAAACACCACATAGGTTCAATATTATTTCATCTTTGTATCAGTTCGGTTGTTGATTCCCAATTTTTGTCAGCTTGGGTCAACCCAAAAGTAGAACTGTACTGTACCGTGGATAATCAGCAATTTTTAGCGACAAAAAAGATCACATTTTTCTCTGCTTTTCACACTTTATGTCTAACCACATTTATATGTAATGGCTGTTGTTTCTCTGTATCGATGACAAAGAAACTGATATAATGAATCTATAGGACGCACTACCGCGACTTTTGAAAACAGACGTATGTTCTTCGTACTTTCGTCTGCTTTACTGGCCGCGGCTGGTGGTTGAGGATTTTACTAGTGTCGTAACATACTTTTAAGTCTTTTCGCATTACTTTGGGTATTTGGCACGGATTATTACCACGTAATACTATCGGATTTAGTCTTTCTCATTGCGCCGTTGGTTCGACCATATTCATAGGAACCTTTGTTAATCATATGAACTCTGAGAGCAGCTTACAAGTAACATTCATTTCATAATAACTGTTATAATTTTGTTATATAATATTCAATTTGCATTGTAGCCGTAATTTGTTACTTTCTGCTCTACTCGTAATTGACACTGAGGTTCGTAGTGATAGCTCTTTATGGTATATTGTTGTTAACTTTGTATATTGTTATATCTTGAATAATCTCTTTTCTGGGATCGATCGCAAGTGTAACTAGGCGTAAAAGGCTATCAACTGATCGCTTTCCAGAAGTGACTTTATTCATTTAACTGGGAAAATTAATTTAGTTTTCATTATTTGACTGAACAGTGTTTAAAGATATAAATGGTCGCCAGTTAACTGTTTGCTTAACATCAAATATTGTGTTTTGTTTTAAACAGCTCAGAAAGATAATCGCTTCTGGATCTCCATTGTATCATAACTTAAAGGGTTGAGTTCCACAACTCGTTATTCTAGTAAAAGTACAAAGATCCTTTTTATTAGTGCACATTTAACCTTCAAAATAATTGAATGTTCATTAAGATGTATACTTTCATATTAAAGCTGTATCATTCCTACTTTTTGTATTTAGAACTAAACAGCTCTTACTCGGCCTCAAAAAAGCAAATGTTTTCAGTTTGTCGACAGTTTTATTTCAGCAAAGTCACTTTTGTCGCTCTACCCAGCAAATATCAGAGAGCATTACATCATGAGTCAAAACACAAAATTGAAAAAATAAAATTAAGAGAGCCTTTCGCTGTCGTTGCTGGGAACTTGCCGAAGACAGCTTTGAATGGTGAGCAAGCTTTCAATTTTTTGAATGATGGTAAGTTGCCTGACTTTAATATAATTGTATTTGAAACTAGATGCCAAAGTTTTTATTCACGGCGGCGCAGCTACACCTACAATACTTATTTCGGAATTTTATAACTATGTGATGGCTAAAAAGCTGAAGAATATATCGGCTTACCACATTCATACAGAGGGACCCTTTCCAATTATCAATCCTGAAGCAAGTAGTCACGTCCGATCTGTGTCACTTTTCACAGGTATAAAATACATAACATTACTGTCCTCCTACAGGCAGCAATTGTAGAGATCCAATCAAGAGTGGAAGAGCCGATTATGTTCCTATATTTTTGAGTGAAATACCACTCCTATTTCGCAGAAATATCATAAAACTCGACCTAGCATTACTAAATATCAGTCCTCCGGATGTTAACGGGTATTGCTCTCTTGGTCCAAGTGTAGATGTTACTCGTGCTGCTATTGAGTCGGCTAAGCACCTCGTTGGTAAGTTCTTTCCATCGTACTATAACTCTTAAAGGTCAAATAAATCCGAGCTTACCAGTCACTTCTGGAGATGCCCATGTACACATAAGTAACTTCACGTCGATCATCCACGGAGATATGCCTTGTCACTTTATGAATCCACGACAAATGACCGAAGTTGAAGATAAAATCGGCTCATTGATTGCAGATAACCTAATCGATGATGGTGCCACTCTGCAAACAGGTTAGTAAACATTTTAAAGGTAATTATTTTTCACCTAAACAATTGTTTTCTCGCAAGTCATTAAATCGCGTATATCCATAAACGCTGAAGTTCCTCACATTCTAATTTTTATTACTATTCCAAGCACCATATTTGTTTAAGATTTACTAGTATTAATGGAATTAAAGTTTTATTGTGTTACGACTGTTTTCTGTATGAAGAGATAAAGCTCGGTTGTGACCTAACTAACAACCGGGTTTCTTAATTCATTAAAATCTCCAAACCGATTAGCCAAAGCTTGCATGTTTAAATCTTGCCACTATAATTGGAAAATTCTCTCGATCTCACTGAAGTATCTGATTGTTTTTAATAGAGATAACTTTTATCTAACTAGAATACTTTTAAGACAGTCTCATTCCTGATAATTTAGTCTATTATTTTTATTTTATTTATTTATTTAAACACAAATACTGGTACAGGGAGGCACCAGATACATATGCGCCTCACAAACCTCATTTGATTTGTGTGAGGGCTGTGATACTGCCCGGGTGCCCAAACCGAAGCAGGTGGTTTTCTTAGGGGACCACACCTAAAGCCTTCGATCTAATGTTCTGATCCATAAGGCAGTGGAACAACGTAAGGAGATGCAGTCCCATGGTAACCGGTGACCAGCGATTGGTTCATACTCTCCGTGTCCACCAACCCGGTTAGAGCGCCGCACATTCGTTTTTTGTCCTATCAATTCCATAAACAACACCCCCGACACAAGAAAGTAGTGAGTAGGTCTTCCCTGGCAGAGGCTATATACGTGTGGCCATGTGAGAGCATTTCGAGAGGGAGAGCGGACTCTCCCCACTCTCGGCCTTACCTGGGCATTTGGGGACTTAGTCTATTCTATCTAATATACTAGTGACTTTATACCTATTCAACTAAAAAGCTTTTCAAGTATTTAGTACTCGAGAGCACTTATTGGAGCACATATTCTTCGTAAACAGTGTAGAACTCGACACAAATATGGATCAACCTAAGTTGTCACAATCCACATCACCACAATAAGTGAAAATTAATAACAATCATTATCACACAATTACCTGCATAGTTAGTCTTGATAGCGATTAAAGAAAAAAAACTAGACACTGCTTCATGCCAGTGTATATTTAGTAATACGATCTGTCATATCAGTCAATATCTTCCAATTCATTGTTTCCAAAAGTGACTTTTGGCTATACATTCTGTCATAATGTAATATTCATCATTTTTCGTGGTAAACTTTAATTTTTATTCCTAAGACTTTCCACTGGATTTTATTTACAAAATTCTTACATCACTTTTACATTATAGGTATTGGGGCAATTCCAGATTCAGTCTTAGATAAGCTTTCCAACCATCGAAACTTAGGAGTTCACACAGAAATGTTCTCAGATGGAATTATTAAACTAGTTGAAAATGGTGTTATAACAAATGCGAACAAGGTAGTACGTCCAGGGAAAGTTGTCACGAGTTTTGTCATTGGTACAGAGAATGTTTTCAAGTTTTTACATGATAACCCATTGATTGGTGAGTCTCTACAGTTAAATTTTTATTGTTGTTTTTATAAGGTATTTCAGATAAACTCTATAGAATACTAATCAATATACTGTTATAACGTGAAAATAATGCTGCTGATTAAGGGATAGCGGATTATTGATAGGACCAAAGACGCACAAACACGTAGAACGACCTAGGGTTCTGATTGGTCTCGCTTCCCTGTCTGACCCAGCCAGTTGAGTCCAGAACACAAGTTTCAGCCTCGGATATATGAATCATTATATTTCAAACATACTCTATTTATATACCAAGCAAACAAACCACATCGTACCACAAAGTAGAAAATAACATTGTACAATATTGGCCAACAGGAAAATAACACGTTAAATAAATATCGACCAATGGGAAATGTACATTTAAGGTCCAAGGACACCATTGGACTTAACATGATAATTATTGGTCTATTTTTCCGACTACCTAACATATACTAACCGTTTATAAATCCCCATCACATTGAAACACCGATAAATGGACGATGAACATTCTTTTCAAGCCTTCTGCCCAGCGCTTTCATGTTTTCAGTTGTTGTCTAACTTAGATTAGTTCGTGATTTCAATAAAATTAACAATTTTACCTTAATTTATAAACAATCATATGTTCACGTGCTATAATTTTAGACGATGTATTTGCCTTAAACTTGGTCACTTTTTGGATCATCAATTGGGACAGACAACCATAGATCTTGAAGATAATTTGTTGAAAAGAATATTCTCGAACCATATATATTTAACTCTTTAAAGTACCATAATAAATTGCGTACGTTTTCTCCTTTTCTAGGCATCTTAACGTAGTTATACCAAGTCCGATTCCGTAGACATCACTTGTCCATAATTTCTTCAGTTCTACCTTGTGCGTATTTTGAGAAGACAATTCTCTCTATTTTTCTCAAATGAACAGAAAGGATACTTATTGTTAATCGTTCATAGCCAGTCAGGTTTTAAGATCTGCTTGTTGTCAACTTACAACTACTCCACAAACTAAATTACACACCTATATTCCATTTATTTTTAACCAAGCTTCTCTTATGTATTTTCTCTCCACAAACCTCCAAGTTGGAACGAATTCTGTTTAAAATGACTAAAGATTCTCAGAACCAAAGTGTCTGTATCACTGTTGTGAAATAACACCTTAGATTATAATTTTTAGTCCCATCAACAGTTTTATTCATATAGTCTTGTTCTTTTGTTTTGTATGGATTAGAATGATCTAAGCCAGAAATGGTTTTATGATCACTAACGCGTTTTTTATTTTCGATAACACTTGATAATGTTTCGAAATTAACGTATTTCAGGACTAAAAAGTAGCATATTTGTTCGTGTATTTTGATACTAGTTAAACGTCTTCTTAATTCCAATAATATTATCCAGTTGCTGGAATTTTAATGTTTGGGACCAGTTTCAAACATGTGACCAAATATTAAATGATCATATGTACACGCCAATAAATTCTATTTGTATTGAATTCTCTGTATTATGGATTAACTTTATAGATTTGGTTCATTTCATGCTATAGAATAAAGCGGGTAAAGTTCTTTGGATAGAATAACATGAATTCATTTTATTTTTCAAGGTTTTCATCAGCCGCTTATAATGTGCTATATTTCAGTACCAAAATTAACAATACAGTTTGACATACAGTGATAAACATGGTCAGAAAAGTGACAGTGTGACAACAATTAAGGGAACGGAAATAAAGTTAGTTTGCGTAAAATGTAGGACGAAGCTAAAGTGCAATGTTTGTTTGCTTAGTTGATTACAAGAAAATCATTTGATGAGTTCTATCCCCAATACTTTGTACTGTCTGCATCATATTAGTAAGAACATTCTTCTAATTCACAGACCAGTTCAATATATTCATTGACAAAAGTATGAAATAGGCTTTATTGGACTCGTCTTTCAGCTTCATAAAATATCATATCTTAAATATAAAGTCAACAGTAATAGAAAATTATTTAATACCTTTCCGATTTTTCCTAAAAAGGAAACTCTTGACAAATTTGATTTTTTTTAAAATCGTAATTTTATTTACCTTTTTTTAGCGAATTGATGCGCTTTAATACATTTCTCTCAGTTTTGTTAGGAATAACTTGAGGATGAACTACAGCATTTTGCTCCATTTAAAAATGTATTATGTACGATTTTTATAGATGAAACTGTTTCATACGCAATCTGTATCGACTATGCCATACAAAAAATGTAACGTAAATATGCCAGTAATAGATGAGTGACGATTATTTTGTATCTTGGAGAAACTCAAGATACGAATTCACAGTAAACTAACCATGAATTAGTCATGATTCATCAGGTGACTTATTCTAACTTGATCACAACAGAATAAATATCCAAATAGTTAAAACCTATAAAATCATGATCTATCTTCGTCTATTAAAAACACTGATAAACACTAATCAAATCATTTTGCAGATCCAAATGAAGTATCTTTGTGTAACTTTTTTAATTAGAGTTTAAATCTGACCTCATTATCGTGACTTACTTACCATGGGTTTCACGTATAACTTCTGTAAACTGAGTTCACATGTAAACTATAATTGAAATACCAAATTTATGTAGTCAGTAATCATCTAGGAATCATAACAGTAATTCTCGGTTTCTATTTTTTGAAGAATTCCGTGATGTGGCCTGGGTTAATTCACCTTTTGTAATAGCCCGAAATCCAAAACCGGTTTCCATTAATTCATGCATTGAAGTTGATCTAACTGGCCAAATTGTATCCGATTCTGTTGGCAGTAGAATCTACTCAGGTAAATTTGAAGTACACATTGTTTCATTCGTTTTGACTATATTTCTTTTTTCTTGTTGCTATAAACCATCCGTCTATTTAAGTCACATATTACCAAGCACAGACTTCCCACAACGTTTAGTTCAAGTTTTTTGAATCATCATTTGCTCATCAGTGGCTAATTTCGAGGTAACTCCGTGATACCAGAAACTGACTAGTGGGCTCATGATGTCAATATCATTCGGTAGGCTCTACAAACTCCCTATACGAATAATTGTAAACTCGATTTTAAACCATCAGGTCCCTGATTTGAACCCTACTTCACTTCATGTTGGGTAACTAGATGTTATCATGAATCTGAGCTACAAATCTTCTCCACCATCTCGTTATCATGAACCCTCTCATAAACAGTTCGGATCCAAGCTAATCTTCGATACATATACATTAATCTTAACAAAACTCTATCCACGTGAAATAGTATCAATTTTCATCGTTTTTTTCATCCATCGTTTGAGATTTCTTAGCCTTGTACACTTACGATAGCTGATTATATTCCATTTCAAAAGATGTCCTCAAATTGTTCGCATTTTCACAAACTGCTTAAATAAACAAAATATCTGGTCTGTCTATCGGAACTTACTGCAACTCGCCATATCTGATGAACAGTTTGCCAAAGTTAAAATATCTCTCGGTCCTTTTTTAATACTACATCCAGTCTTCAGTTACTAGTAAATCATTCTTGCATGTGATTCTTTCATGAAAGTTTTGTTTCGGCATGCTAATGATGATAATTGAGCTCAGACTAAAATGTCCATAATGTCTTGTTTTATTCTGATTAAAGGATTTGGTGGTCAAGTTGACTTCATCCGCGGGGCTGCAATAGCTGAAGATGGTTTAGGCAAACCTATAATTGCTCTTCCATCTACGACAAAACGTGGTGAAAGTAAAATTTCTCCATGTCTTAAACCTGGTGCCGGTGTTGTAACATCTCGAGCTCATGCTCACTATGTTGTCACCGAATATGGTATCGCCTATTTATTTGGACGTAGTTTAAGGCAGCGCGCACATGCTCTTATTCAGATTGCTCATCCAGATCACAGGTAACCAAGTCGTGCTTCCTTTTTTATATGGACACTCGTTTGTTATTCTAATATCTATCTTCATAAATATATATTTTGATAAATTTGTTTGCTTGAGATTAGTCTTATCTGCAAAACTATTCTGATATTCGGATTCTTTGAGTAGTAAAACTTCATAATGATATGATAATACCATATCACCGTGCATTGAAGTCCATCATCTTTTAGCAGTGTGCTGTAAACGTTCATGCAGTATCCGTCCATTAGTTGCTTGTGGTGCTGTTGTTATCTAGAAAGACAGTGGACATTTTATGAATAGACCATCCATCTCAGAAAATACAGTACCACTCATATTGTCTATTAACAGTCTTAACAGCTAAGCAGTAATAACCAAGTTTAACAGTGATTTACATCTACTCAACTTCCTAAGAAAGTATGAAATTCATGACGGTCACAGATTAGTTTTGCCGATTTCATAATTTCCAACTTAATTGATTTCGACATAATGAATTTCATAATAGTGATTGATCAGCTATACCTGTTTTGTGTCTACTTCTTTCAATAGTGAAGAAATGTTCTCATACAAGTCCAGCGTTATCATGTAGTTAGTGCTGTGTATGATGTTTTTTGTCATCTCTTTTTTAACTGATTCTTTCTAATTGATTCATTCTTTTTTCGTCAAAAACAGAGAATCATTAGAAAAGGCATCATTTGAACAACTCAAAGTAATTCCATCAGCTGATTAGAAAGAAAACTACGTGGTTCCAAAGAGATATGTGAATAAGTGATATGTAAAGTAAAACAAGTGATGAAATTCTTACAAACATGCTATTAATAATTTATGTAATACTCGTACATTGTAACAAATAATCTTGCGGAAAATTTATTTTTAACATTTATTCTGTAGTGCTTTTACTAACATATGTATTTTACCACATTGCTTTATAATTGTATTTAATTTATACTTATTATTAGTGTTTAAGTTACATTATCTTCCAAGTCTCCGGTATTGTTTGTCATGCGTATTTTCTTTACTATACGAAGATCGGAGGAGGGTATGGGGAGCAGAATAAGTTGCTGTCAGATTGAATTGGAGTAGATAGATTTTTATTTCAATATTTTTAGGACGATAAAAGTCTAACGCCCCTTGGCTTTCACCAGTACCAAAATCAGTGTCACTCATTGATTAAAATTACTAATACATAATAAGTGTTTGAATGTCAGGCATTTACAGACTTGTTATTTACCCCTACTAAAGTCTATTGTTAATGCGCTAGGCCACCTACTGGAATTGGATTTATTATTCGTGATACAGAAAACATTTTGTGTAATATTGCTACACCAATAGTAAATTATTACTTCTTCATAATTGGCTAAATTAAATTTACGAGTTCAAAAAGAGCATTATGTTAATTCAACATTGCTACTTATATAAACTAGTTGATATTCGTTAGCATGTCATATCAGCAGTCTTACGGGAAATAACTCTTTTTGTGAAATTTTAACCTACATCGCTCATTCTTATGACTGGAGACGGTGACTTTAAGCTATTCGAAGTGAGACTAACTTTCTGTAGGTCCTATACTCACTAATAAGATTAACCCGAACTATTCACGTTTAGAAAAACATATATAAGCGAACAATATTGTTTCCGATTACATCCTGACCAGGTTTTACTCTAATATACAGTAATATTTATGTGCATATGCGAAATTATTAAACCAGTCAAGGTAGTTTATGAGTCAATGATAAAAATGGAAAAGACTACATAATAAGTGAAAAGTAAAAATTGGTAGTCTGATGACAGGTCAGACTGACTGACTGACTGTAGTCTGATGACAGGTGTACTAGTTTTTGATAAGAATAATAAAGGCTTAAATCAATGTCGTAATACGGGTTTCCTCAGCAGTGAACATCCACGATCCCGAACCCCGCAAGATTCGAACCCAGGACCTATCAAACCCTCAATACCTTTTCTCTCAAACCTACGCTTCATGTTCTAATTATCAAAACACTTCTTATTTCGTAATCTTATAATTTTTATAAATGTTATCCCACTGTCTATATTTTTTTAATCATTGACCTATTTCCGATTATGTAACATTGATTTAAGCCTTTATTATTCTTATCAAAAACTAGTACACCTGTCATCAGACTACAGTCAGTCAGTCAGTCTGACCTGTCATCAGACTACCAATTTTTACTTTTCACTTATTATGTAGTCTTTTCCATTTTTATCATTGACTCATAAACTACCTTGACTGGTTTAATAATTTCGCATATGCACATAAATATTACTGTATATTAGAGTAAAACCTGGTCAGGATGTAATCGGAAACAATATTATTCGCTTATATATGTTCTAAATTTACAATATGGTAACTATTCACGTTTGTAAAACAACCGAAGAAATATCACATTTCTATGTAAGTTTCATCTGATTAATTACTCAAATTTACATTACCATCATGTCTTAAACAGTTTACTGTCCATCATGTATACAGTTATTTTTATGTAGTTAATAATGTTATCCTAGTTAATAATATGGTCTAAACCATAACTTATAAACCAAATAGACCAAATCCTACTAAAATTTCAATCCTTGAATCTAACCTAATTAGATTATTTAATATACAACTCTCATACATTGTGGTAACATAACATAAAGTAAATTAACATCATGTTTTGATTGTCATAGCATTGAATTAGCCTATTTTATAATGCACCATTATATGAGGTGAGGGATACTGCACTCAGGGAATGTTGATGAGAATATCCATATTCAGATGAGAAACTGTTACTACGTGTCAGTTATGTGATGTGTCACAAAGATAGCAGCAGAAATTTCAGTTTATCAATTTAATGTCTTGGAAAACTCGTTTCAAGTATCTGTAGTGTCATGTAAAACTCAGTGATTGAAACTTATCGTATTTCATGGACTATGAGAAATCAACAAGGGCGATTAATTAATTTCAGCCACCAGAAGTTAGTTTCGAAGAATACCTATAAGTTAATAAAAATAAGACATATTTCATTCTAGTCTAAAACTGCTAGTTCTCATGAAACGCGTGTCAAAGTACACATCTCCACCAGATTCCTAGTTCATAAATTTCAGGCAATCGGTTTATGATGTAATTGTTCCTCGTCCTTAATGGGTACATCTTACTCGTATTCTTCAAAAGCGCAATCAAAATCTTATGCGTCAACATTGTATTGATCAATGAACAGTCAATTTCAAAGCTGATATGTAAGAAATCGTCCTGTTTATGTAATGGGGAAACTAACAGGAAGTAATCTGCTGAACAGTTTATGATTTCCAGTTTCACTACTGGTAATTTTCAGTGAAAACTGCAAAAAGCACTCAAAGCTCATTGATTCCGCGATGAGGTTTATGTAATTACAATAGTAGGTAGATTTTCGTGTTTGGTTAAATAATGTTATTGAAAAATCATAAATAGTCGTGGATGAAATTGTCCAAATAACAGTTCAAACAAATCGCATTTTATTTCATTTGGTACACAGAAATATCATGATTATTAAGTAATATGTCGTCATCTAGTTCATATATATTCACTAAACTTTTAATATGTACATTGAAAATCAATAGAGAAACGCTAAAATTGATGACCTCAAAATCCTTAATGGCCCGATATCTGGCTCGTTAGATCGTATGATTGATTTATATTGAGATATACATGTCACCAATCCTCATATATAATTACCGACTTAATTTACATTAGTAAATAATGGAATTAAACGAGTCAAATATGAGGATGGATTTCCAATACGTATATTTCATAAAATCATTGATCCAGAGAAACGAAGCGAAAAGACGCGCGGTGGATAAGGCATGTAAGCCAACTCGATTTAACCAAGTGTTAGTCAATATTTAGAACCAGATAAAAATAAGTTACAGGCATTTGATGAGCAAGACGAGAAATGCATACAGATACGCTCATATCAAAACAGTCAATGTTGATAAGCGAATAATTAACAAGATCGGAATGTGACTCGAGCAGTATAAATAAACCGGCTTGTCCAGAAGCTAGAATAAGTTATGTGGGCTTAACATAGTAACGGAAACTACGATACAACGCATAAAAAAACCAGAATATCTTCGGCTAAAGATGTAACTACTCAATAAAGTAGAAAACTTATGACATTACTTCATTCTAATAAAGGAAGTGGTTGAACTAGTTTGAGTACAAAGTAAATGAAACAGGAAAACATGTGACGGGATTTTTACTGCTATTTACTTCCTCTTTCTCTAAAAATAATTACTATTTCTACGAACGACAATTTTATCGGTCCTGTGACCTTCACTGTATTAATTATCACAGAAGAACCCTTCCACTGCGTGGGCAACCGGGAAGTGATAACCGCCCTCATACCTCTAACAGCAATCAAGACCACTGTATTCATAATCAACCTCCCTCTTCAATTCCTATTATTCCTCCCACATCGATTTCAAACTCTAAACTTATTTTTTCGGCTTCCCCCTCAAGTGTCACCATAGCCAACGATTCTAGTGCTCCAAACACTGTCCCAGGTCTACTGAAACCTCGCTCCAAACTACACATTGGAGCCTCGAATGTACACACCCTATGTCAAATCGGTTAACAGGCTTCCTTGGCTAGAACCCTAGAATCTCGTACCATTTATGTATGCTGTGTCTCTGAGACACGCATACAGGATCTCAGTGTGGTCATTCACTTGACCTCACCTCGGCAAAACGGAGGGTCAACGAGACACACCCCCCGTGTATCTGGTGACCCGATGGCCAGCTCTCGTGGACTGGCAGGAGTAGGGATAGCACTAAGCATGAGGACGGAACAAGCACTGCTAGATTGGATCCCCGTCAACAGTCGTCTATGTGCTGTTTTTTGCCAAACGGCTCCTTAATAACTCGGAAGGATAGGGCCACACGTCGTTGCCTTTTTGTTGTTTCTGCCTACGCTCCCACCGACTGCAGCTCAGATGAAATGAAAGATGAATTTTACAGAAAGCTATGTGAACTTCAGAAAGGTAAACGTTCAGACATAGTACTCGTAGGAGGTGACTTTAATGCCCAGATAGGTAGTTTAAACCAAACAGAAAGGCATTTAGGTGGGTATTTTAGTATTCCTGCACAATGGACAGAAAATGGTGATCGTCCGCTGCAACTGTGCTCAGACAATCGTTTATTTTTAGCAAACACAAATTTTAAGCATAAGGAGAGACATCGTCTAACATGGCGACCCCCTACACCAAACCAACGATGGGCTCAAATAGACCATATTGCCATCAGTCATCGTTGTAGAGGGTAGGTAGAAGATTGTCGCTCATTCTGGAGTACCTGCTTGGACTCTGACCATGCCCTAATACGGGCACGCATCTGCTTGCGCCTCACTGGAAGCAAAAAGCCACATTAAAAAGACCCATTAGAACTGGGTTGAGTAACGAGAAAACCAAAAGTAGGTTCCAGGAACGACTGAGGTCACAATTAGGTAGTTCTGAAAACGCGTTTGACCCAGACGTTGCTTGGCAAGCTATACAAACAGCAGTGACATCTATTAGCGACTTAAACCAGAGAGTTACAAAGGACCAGTGGATTTCTTCAAAGTCTATCACACTGATGAATTCTCGCAAACTCGTCCCATCAGGTTCCGAACATGATGAAGAGAGACAACAAATCAGATCTAGGTTAAGAAAAAGTCTAAGAAACGACCGTGAGCAGTGGTGGGCAGCGAAAGCAAAAGAGATGGAAAAGGCGGCGGCTATAGGGAACACAAGACAGCTTTACAGACTAACAAAAGAAACTGGAACTAATAAGTCAAGTGTAAGCGAGATTATATCGCTTTGCCCCCTGAATTCTCTGGTACGGCCGAGAGTGGGGAGAGTCCGCTCTCCCTCTCGAAATACTCTCACACGGCCACGCGTATATAGCCTCTGCCAGGGAAGTCCTACTCATTGCCTTCTCGTGGCGGGGGTGTTGTTTACGAAAATGAGAGGACGAAAAGCGAATGTCCGGCGCTTTAACCGGATTCCAAACCAATGGTGCACATGGGCTCCAGTATCCTGCGGGAACGAATGGCGTATGAAACAATCGTTGGTCACCGGCTACCATGTGATTGCATCGCCTTACGATGCTCCACTGCCTTGTGGGTTAGACCTTTAGGTCAAAGGCTCGGGGTGTGGCCCCCTAAGATAACCACCTGCTTCGGTTTGGGCACCCGGGCAGTATCACAGCCCACACACAAATGATGAACTCTTTATGTCTATGGAAATTATTTTTCTCGCTTCGAAAAACAATCAATTGATTCAAATTATTATCATTACAATTATTGTCATTATTAATACTATTATTATTACCATTATTGTCATTATTATTATTATAATTATAATAATAATAATTATTATTTTCCACAATATTCACCCTCTTTTATACTTATACAACGGCTCGTCTTTGGTGGAAATTCGGTTCTATCTAAACGTTCTCGAG